GATCATCTTTGAATCCACAGCTCCTGCTCCAACACCTGGCACATCATTGGTTCTGGAAACGTTTGTGGAATTGAATTTGCTGAAGTGCTGCTCACACTGAGGTGCAGTGAAATGTGTTGTCACCTTAAGGCCAGTAAGGATGGAGAAAGGCCGCATACCCCAGGGTCAGTGCCCTAGTTGAGGATCCCCAAGAGCAGACCCGGGGACAAGGACTTGAGTGCGAGCAGTAAAAGAAACATCAGACACCAGGAAGGGACAGAGGAAGTGAGCAGAGCAAGGCAGGCTATCAGTAAAGGGAATCTTCTTGAGCCAGCTGACCATGTGAGCAAGTGGAGCTCACCCCGCTGGGGAAACTCCAGGAGCCCATGTTGAACACATACCTGAGGGAGGAGGGGACACACACAGCAACTCCCATCAGTTACTGGGTGTGTTCATTCATGGGCCCTCTGTATGAGTGGCATAGCAGGTTCCCATGGGAAGAGAAAGCTCTTGGGCAAAGTGCAGGTGCCAGCAGCTGAAAGCCAGACGGATGTGCAAGGAAATGGTAACAGCAAGGCATTGGGCCTCGCACCACCACCCCAGAGTTCAGCAGGTCTAGGGGGACACAGGAATTTGCATCTCTAATGCATCTCTGCTCTCTCTACCAGGAAGGACAAAAGTGAATCACCAAAGACAACTTTAAACCCTATCAACCTAGAGATAGCACCAGAGTCATCTACATAACAGACTTCACTAATAAGCCTGTGTCTACCATTAGTTTCCCATATATTTACCCTCCCACAATCTGCTGCTCTTTGAAGTCCAAAACCACTTTCCTTTGTCATTTATCTGCAAATGTTTTGTTCTTTTTTAAAGATGCTATATAAGCCGAGGTTTTAAGCCACCTCTTTGAGTTACTCTTTTTTCTGAATTTCTCTCATATATGTATGAGATATACACATTAATAAACTTCTGGTTGATTTTCTCTTGTTAACCTGTCTTTTGTCACAGGGGGCTCCGTCAAGTACTTAGAGGGGTAGAAGGAATGATTATTTTTCCTCCCAAATGGAGACAAAGCCAGAGAGGTAAAATACACTTTTGTTTGGCCCTCTGCAAGAAAACTCTTCCCATCTTGCTGAAAGCCTATATCTTGGAGTTGCATGCCTGTGGCAATGGGACCATGTAGTACACTTTCCAGAACCTCTGTACCTGCTGGGGCCAAGGTTAAGGCCACTCACAGGATCCTGAGGATGCCGCCTTCCTAGCAGTTCTATCCAGGCCTTTCTCTCTAGGGGTGGCTAGGCAAACATCGGTCCCAGAAGTAAAGAGCACAAACAAATATTTCAGAAAGGATCCAGCTTTTGGATACAGAACTGAATCTAGCTGGGGACCAGCCGAATTCAGGAAGCTGCTCCTCCTGATCTGACGCAGAGCTCTCCAGCAGACTCCCTGCGCCTGCCACTAGGGCAGCCAAAGGCAGTGTTGCATCCCTTCCTAGCAGGCCTCAGAATCACTACATAGTGACCTTGAGATCCTCCTACTCTGTTCTGGAAAAGGCAAATCTTCCAGAAGACACCCCCCCAAACTAATTTCTATCACCTTACACTCATCCCACGTCTGTGATAACCAAAAAAAAATAACAGGCTTCCTGTCCTCTGCTGCTAGTTTACAGTAAAAGCATAGGCTCACAGGAAAGAGAATCCTAAACAAAAACTGGTGCTTATTTCATGATACTAAATTTCCAGTTGAAACCTACACTGTCAGTTTCAGAAACTAAACCACTCATGACCCCTTAAGAGATGAGAGGAGCAAGGCTGGGAGACTGAGATACAAAATTTACCCTTCCCAGGAGCAGAGGCATCCTCGTTGATCTTTTATGGTGATCACCCGTAGTGAAGAACACGACAAAGTCACATCCCCATGGTTCCATCTTGAAACCGGGGTCACTGCCACCCAACTCAAGCTGTTAGTCCTCAAGCCACTGCAGGTATCTGGGGCCCTCCACATTCAAGAGGCCAGCACAAGGGAACACTTATAAATATACGGTCAACACCCAATACAGGAGGTACCGTCATTTGTTGCAGTCCAGAGCTCCATGGTAAGGCAAAGAAAAGCTTCTCCCACTCGCAAATCAGAACATTTTTCCAGCTTCCCCAATGGGTTGCCAAGTGACTCAGCATTGGCTCAGTGTGGGCACTATTATTGATGAGAGAAATCTTCTGCCTGGGTGATATACTGCATACAACACATGCCCAAAAACAGTGCCAAGTCATACCAGGAAGAGCAAGCAAATCCTTCACCTCCACTTCGAACACAGGCAAATCCTGTCTTAATGCAGAAGCTATTCAGTATCAGAAAGACAAAGCCCTAAGATCGTCTGAGATTTCCATCTAAGACTCAAGGAATTAGTAGGCAGAACTTCTCTTTTCTTGTTGACTATTAAAAGGCAATCAAATTGAGGACAGCAGAGAAAAAGGGCAAGAAAAAAAAATAATTTTTCAAAAACAACCCCAGAGCCTTCAGCCGCATAAATGCCTTCAGCTTCCTAAATGGTGTCTTTGTGAGTCTACGAGCTCCGCCCAGAGGTCATTTCCAGAACTGCATGTTGGTTTAATTTGGAAAAAGAAAATCTGCATCTTCTGGGGTCCAGGGCCTGACATGCTTTGGGAAACTGGTGAAAATTCTCGGACAACATCCCCTCTTTCTTGCCTTTTATTAACGGAATTTCCCTGAACTCTGAAATACAAGATATACTCAGGGAGCCTGGTGAGATCTAGGAGGAAAATTCCCTTTGATATTTGTACCTGTCAAGGAACTAGTTGAGTTCCTGGCAGGTTGAACTCAGCTCAAAGAAAGCGGAGTGTTCAAAGAGTACTTTTAGAAGAAAAAGTGACAGCTCTCATTGAAATAAAATATAAGACTGGAGAGCAATTCAGGGGTCAAACAGGAACATGTCTAATATTAGAACTGAGAATAATGTGCCTTCAGGAAGACCCACGGGCCACTTGCCTAGAAGACCCAACTGCAAGGTACCCACTCCTTTATGCAACTCAGGAGATCTCCCCCTGAGGCAACCAGTCATACTTCCCAAAAAACGGACTGCAGTCCCCAGAACATTCCGCTGGTATCTATCCATTCATCACATGCACACAGACCTCATCACTCCATCCCACCCTCCACACGGATGACCCTCAGGCTACAAAGGGTCAGCCTAGGATCAAGAGTCCCCCAGTGCTCTGACCTCTCAACTGCCCAGCGCAAGACAAATTCTATTCCAGATATCAGAAGCTAGCCCAGCAAATAAATGGGGCCTTCAAAAACAATATGTTGGTGCCAAAAGTTTCATCTACCATCTGGAGAGCTTCTCATCACAGCCCGCGTGCTCCTGCCCCCATCAGCTTGTGCTTTACATGACTTAAGATGGCTTTGACAGATCCTCGAGGGGGAAAAAAATCCAACTTACCCTTTGTCTTCTTCCAACACCTGCCACCCCCGGCCACCCAAGTTCTTTCTTCACTGCAAACAGTGAACAGCCTTTTCATGTCTACTGATAAAAATATCTATGGTAATGTTTATCCATCTCAGGAGTATTAAAGCTCTAGAAAACATTCTTGCTAAACCTCAGCACATTCTCATTTCAGTAAGGCTAAGCATTCCCAGAATGTTGCCCTCTTTGGTTTTTTGTTTTGTTTTGTTTAATAGACTTTATTTTTTTCAAGCAGTCATAGGTTCACAGCAAAATTGAAAAGAAAACACAGAGATTTCCCATTAAACCCCTGACCACACACAACGCATAGCATCCCCATTAACAAACTCCCCCACCAGAGTGGTATACATTTGTTACAATCAATGAACCTGCATTGATACATCATTACCACCCAGAATTCATAGTTTATATTAGGATTCACTCTTGATGCTGCACATTCTATGGGTCTGGACAAACGGACGACAACACGTATCCACCATTATGGTATCATAGAGGGCAGTTTCACTGCCCTACCCTCTCCCTCTGTTTCTTGACCATAGGGCAAAAAGATCTGTACTCAGCATGACCCAGTAGGACTCTAAGCAGTGTTCCCCAGGCCCACCGAGCAATAAAAATCACCAGGGAGACTGGCTAAAGTCACAAACGTTCAAACTGCACCCTCCATCCACTAAATCAGACCTTCTGGGGAGGGGCCCAGAGAGCTATAGGGCATTTAGGCAACCCAGGGGATTACTATCATCAGCAAGATTTTAAAATACCTCTCTATAGAAGAAATGCTCCTAGTTCAGAGTCTCCCAGATACAGGGCAGCATCCACTCAGTGTGCAGGAGATATTTCCTACCCACTTGAGCTCCAGCTCCATCTGAATCCCTAGAATTCAAGATACAGCTGATTCTTCGTTGTTTAAGCAGCATGGCGGCCAATACTTGTCTCTCTTACTCCTTCAGCTTGTTATACAGTACCAGAAAATTGTACAAGGCCCACCAAGCGTCCACTTCTATTAGGAAACATTTTTGCATTCCTACACCGTCGTCTACCACTGGTCTGTAGTTCATAAGCATGCTATTTGGATCATGAGAGCAACATGATGGGTTAGGAAAGTAGACCTGCTTGGTTGCGGGCAAGGATTTTCCCGAGGACATCTGCACACATCGTGCACAGAGCAGAAGGACACACATGGCCCCCCCCACTGCTCTGCATTCTGCCACAGCCAGTGATGGTTTGCAGCAAAATTCACTGGGCAGCGGGCCACATGGCTCTTAGAAACCACAATTAAGAGAGGAGGAAAGGCTGAATTACAAGGTGTTTGAAATGCAGTTCGAGAAAGAAAAAAGTCACATCTTATTTTCTCTTACCTGCTGGTGATGAAATCTATATATTCATCCCACAACAGACACCTGACTCTGGGGTCATTCGAAGTCAAGAGCTCAGTCAATATAAAAATCAAGTACACAATACTGAGCGTAAATATCCATTACACCAAAAGTCATATACTTTTTCTTTTTTTTTTTTTTTTATCAAAAGGAATTCTTACCTTTTCTTTGGCTTTCCTTTTTGTCCCAGTGTCCATCCACTCATTTTCTTTCTCCAGCATGTCAATAAAGGCCCAGCGAATACCCTCAATCAATTCCTCCATCTACAAGGAAATACCAAGAGAGAGAGGTCAAAACCAAGAAGCTCCAGACAAGGTTTTCTGGGCCACGAGAAATAGTTCAATGCCAAACACGGTAGGAAACAGGTTCCTTTCAGCTTGACTCCAAGCTCTGGCAACATTTTTTTCCCCGGGAAAATGCTTTTCTTCCCCACCACTAGTAGATAACTAATCATTCCTTTGCAGAGAACAATTTGATGGTCCAGTTGTAAAAGGATTATATGGGGAAAGGAATTCACCATAGGTTATGACGACCTAAAAACTGACCTTTCTATACCTACTAAATTAAGCCATCCTTATCAAGGTAGCAACTAGTTTCAATAGTTAATAAGGATTTGAGAGAGAGATGTGAAGGCATGGGCTCTGTGTTTCAGGCAGAATTACAGAAGCAAGTGACTGAACAGTTGAAGGAGATACTGTTAACAGGGAAAGAGGCAAGGGAGAGCCAGCACCCCAAGGGACTCTTTCCCAGTATAAATCAGACTTCTGTCAGGACCTTAGTTTTCCACAAATTTAGTGCCAGTGGTCACACCAAATGCTTGGCTGTTCTCTGTAATCCTCCTGCTCTCCTCTCTACTCCCTTGCACCTTAAAAAAAGTCTTAGGTTATTTCAAACCTAAAATGGTAGGTCTGAAGGGGGCTGCTCCAGAAAAGCTGTCTCCTGAAACACCTGTTCCAAAGTGTTTCAACAGTGAGACCACACACCCACACTGATGGTATGTTTGCCCTGGCTCTCCTTCCTGTGCTTATGGGCCAGCAGAGAGAACTAGGGAAAGAGAGATGCTAACACTTGCCTTCAGAGGCCCACGCTGAGTAGTCTGGGGAGGTCTTGCCTGTTTCCCCCCAAAATTCCATTCTCTCACAGAGATGCTTTGATTTTCTTGATAGGACACTCAAGAAAGAATAAATACTAGGTTTGGCACCAGAATTAAAATTTTCACTTAAGATTAGGGGGTTGTAAATCCATTTTTAGCATTAATTCTAGAAGGAAAGTTTTGATGTTTCCTTGGTTCTATAATGAATTGTCGGCACAAAGCTCAAAATAATTTTTTTTCTGTTTAATAAGTTTTCAGCTATGTTTTCAGTTCAATAACAGTTGTAAGGGAACCAGAACTGTAAATCAGTGGGCTGGGTTCCATCGTATGTAAATAAGAACAAACAGCAGATGGAAGGGGGTGGGGGGAACTTCACAGCTATTTTCTCCCAACTTAGTAAAAACATTAAGGGAAATCTCAACTTGGGATTGGGGCATGACTGACAACACGCATTGATAGAAGAGTTGTGGTTCTTTAAAATCATAAAGTCAGTGGTTCTCAAGCCTGTCGACACACTGAGATCTCTGAGGGGAGCTTTCAACAATCCTGAGGGCAACAAGTCAGGACGCTAATGTCACCGCTCCAGGGTGCAGCCCGGGCTGGGAGTTCCAAAAGCCCCCCAGGTGAGCCTAATGCGCAGCCAGGGTGGAACCACACCTGTGGTGGGGGGGGCACTTATTTTACAGCTAAAGAAACTAAGAGTCGAGAGAGTCCATGATCTGTTCCAGCTCTTGCAGCTAGGGAGGATCAGAGCCAAGACGCAACCACAGAGCTAAATGACAGTTGTGAGCTCAGAACTTCCAGGATCAACAGAAGTGTGCCTCATACATGAGAGGCAAATGCCAGGGAAGTAAAAGGGAACCAGCCGAGAGATGTAGAAGTCACAATTTCAAACAGAAAGCCCACGCAAGGAGGATGTTAAAATGACAAGGAAATCTCCAGCGACTAGAATTTCTGCCTGTTCAGGCACCAGCACCCTTAAGTCTTTATGACCTCATCAAGCGGCAACACCCATCAGCCTGCCCATGACCTTCACCTAAAAGCTGAAACAGTATCTTCCCAAGTTAACTAAGGAGGGGGCAATCAGGGTGGGAAAAGGTGGGTAAATTAATTTGAGAGAGACTGAGCGACCAAATCAATGGAAGCAGGTGATTAACTTTGTGTGGGGAGGTGAGCAAAGGACGGCAAATCAGATTACTTCCCAGGCTTCAGGCATGGGCAACTAAGTGAACGCTCCTGCCATTTTCTAAGACCGGGGATGCTGGAAGAGAAAGACGGCTGGGGACCAAAGCCTCACCTCCATGCGATGATGGGGGCACGGGAAGTGGAGACAGCAAGTCTGGACAACCCGGTCAAGGAGTCTGTCTGCTATCAGAGAGCAAAAACCCCTGTCCCCTTCAAGGGTCCTTCTAGCTGGACTAAGAATCAAATTGACATAAGACAGGTTAATAGGAGAAAAACAAATTTAAGAGAGTATGTAAGGGGAATCCCCACAGATGTGGACATTCCAAAGACAGGCAAGATGGGTACACATGTCATTCTGAACTAAAGACAAAGGGGCAGGGGGTCTGGGACTTTGGAAGAAAGGAATGCACTTCATGGGGCAGTAAGAAGAGCAGGTGTTTGGTAATTAGATGTTTGTCTTGCCATACACATGGGCCGTTCAAATAAAATTTATCTCTGCTAATAACCCTCACTCTGGGAAAGACTCCCAAGTTAGATTCTTCTCTGCTGTTAAGGGAAGGGCAAAAGTTTCCCTTGAGCCCATAGGGTCTCAAGTGCCTTCAGCTCAGAATAATCTCCATGCCAAAGCCGCCCATCTTGGGGCAGGCTGCCCTTGGCTTCCACTCTGTGGAAGACAGAAAGCAAAGGTAAGGCGGAGGGAGATGTAGGGTTAAGACAGGAGACCGAGGGTTTGGGGTTTGTTGTTGTTCCTGCTGCTTCTGTTGCTGTGGTGGTTGACCATGTGAGAGATCTCACTGTGTTTACTATCACTGGAAACTCCACAACAAGAAAACAACCAAAGTGATTTTAAAATGAGCCAAAGATGTAAGTCAATCAGAGAAAGACAATTATCATATGATTTCACTCAAATGTGGAATATGAGAAACGGTGCCGAAGATCATAGGGGAAGGGAGGGAAAATGGAATGGGAAGAAATCAGAGAGGGAGACAGACTATGAGAGACTCTTAATCATGGGAAACAAACTGGGGGCTGCGAAGGGGAGGAAGGTGGGGGAATTGTTATATGCAACTGATGAATTGTTGAACGCTACAATGAAACTAATGATGTACTGTGTGGACTAACTGAATTTAAATTAAAAAATAAAATGAGCCAAAGACATTAACAATCATCTCCCTAAGGAAGACATACACATGACAAGCACATGAAAAGGTGCTTCCTGTGATAGGTCACCAGAAAAATGCAAACTGAAACAATAAGCTACCACTACCCACCTACTAGAATGGCCCAAACCCACAACACTAACACCACAAAATGCTGGTGGGGCTGTGCAGCAACAGAAACTCTCAGTCACAGCTGGTGGGAGTGCAAAATAGCAGAGCCCCTTTGGAAAGCAGTTTGGCAGTTTCTTTACAAAACTAAACATAATCTTACCATAGGATCCAGCAACAGTGCTCTTTGGTATTTACCCTAAATGAAGGAACTTATACCAACACAAAAACTGGCATAAGGATGTTTATAGAAACTTTGTTCATAATTGCCACATCTTGGAGGACCCGAAGATGTACTTCAGTAGGTGAGTGGATAAACAAACTGTGGTACTTCCAGACAATGGAATATTAGTCGGCCCTGAAAAGAAATGAGCTAGCAAGGGGTGCCTGGGTGGCTCAGTCGGTTAAGCATCTGCCTTCAGATCAGGTAATGATCCTGGGGTCCTCGGATCGAGCCCCGCATCGGGCTCCCTGCTCAGCAGAGAGCCTGCTTCTCCCTCTCCCTGCCACTCTGCCTACTTGTGCTCTCTGTCAAATAAATAAATAAAATCTTTAAAAAAAAAAATGAGCTAGCAAGCCATGAGAAGACATGAAGGAGCCTTAAATACCTATCACTACATGAAAAAAGCTAATCTGAAAAGACTACATACTGTATGTTTCCAACAATAGGACATTGTGAAAAAAGGCGAAAACTATGGAGACAGTAAAAAGATCAGGGGTTACCAGAAGTGTAGGGAGAGCAATGACCAGGTAGAGTACAGAAGATTTTTAAGACAGTGAAACTACTCTGTATGACAGCATAATGATGGATACAGGTCAGTGAGTGTGTGTGTGTGTGTGTGTGTGTGTGTGTGTGTGTGTCTTCCCAAACCCACAGAACGTGTAACACCAAGAGTGAACCTTAAGGTAAACCATGGACTTTGAGTGATATGTGTCAATGTACATTTGTCATCGGTGTAAAAAAAAAAAAAAAATTTTCCATTCTGGAGAGCAATGTTGATAATGGGGGAGATTCTGTATGTGTGGGGTTGGGGGGGCGGTTATGAGAAAGGTATTTTCCCCTCAGTTTTGCTATAATCATAAAATTGCTGTAAAATAAGTCTTTAAAAAACAAAATACTGAAAAAGGATTCAGTGAAGAGGAAGAGGTTGAAAATACAGGAGCTGGGACCTGAGAGGGCAAAGGGGGACAGGATCCAGAGAATATATGGAAGGATTCACCTTAGACAGGAATGCAGAAGAATCTTTAGATTAGATGGTGGAAGGTTGAGAGTCTTCGTACAATGGTGTCTTTTCTCTATGAAATAAGAGCAAGATCTTCTACTAAAAGGTTTCTCTAAAAAAATTCAATTTCTTCACATTCAGCTGTGTGCATCCTGGCAGCATGAACGTATTGGTAGGAAGAGAGGTATTTACAGATGAGAACAAAGAGGGCAATGAAAGATTTGCTCTCAGTACCCCAGCCAACGTGTGGTGATAACTGAAAGCACCTAAAGCTGAACGTGTCCAAGGAAAACACTTGGAGTAAAGAGTATAAACACTAATCTGCTTTCACTATGGTTTAAAATAAATGACTTAAACCCAAGCCAAAGAGATCTTTAGCAAATACGTATTTTGGAATTTTTGGACTTCTACAGAGAATCTTAAGATCATTTTGCCCCTATTCGCTTTGGGCCACTTTTAGGAAGTATGTAACTATTATTAAACTGAGGCTAGCA